GGTTCCCTGGCTGCCTTTTCCCCGGTGCTGTCCGAGACAGGCCCTGAAGGGGCAGGAGCTCCTTTAGACGCTTCTTTTTTCTTCTTCTTGTTCTTCGCTTTTTGGGGAGTAGCTGGCACCTCCCCTGTAGGGGGCGGGCCAGGCTGCTTGGGTGTCTCCACCTCCAGGTCCACCACCTCGGTTGGGGCAGGGGTGGAGGGAGGTGGAGTGGGGGTCTCGGGTGTTCCACCTGACGGGGCCCCAGCGCCCGAGACTCTAGCCACCCCGGGGAGAACTGGGACAGGAAGGGACTGGGAGGACTCCCCAGGCCGAAAGAGAGAGAGAGAGAGAGAGAAATATTAAAAACTTCCTAATGAAAGTGATGTAGGTTTTTAACTGTTAACATTAACTCACTTTATTTTTATACTTAGACAAAACCATTGCTTTATAAGAATTTAAAAAGTTATGCTGCACTACTGTGTCTTTTATATTCCACCTGATTTGGAGGTCACCTGTACCTTCTTTACAGGAGAGATGCTTTATTGTTTTCTTAAACAGGATAACTAAAGTATACCAACCTCCATCACACTCTTCAGCTGGACCTTATAATCACTTAATTCCTCTGTTAGACTATCCCTTTTCACTTGCAGTTCATTTAATTCTGTTCTTAATGGATGGACTACTTCATAGAACCGAACCTAGGAAAAACAAACAACTATTACTTCTCAAAAAATATATAGGTATCTATAAATTTCCCTTGAGATTAAAGAAATATACAGCAGCTGAAAATATATTAAAATATTTTTTCTTTAACCTGAAAAATACTCTTACACACTTTAAAGACTATTTTGTCATGCATGCAGTACTTATGTTAGTGTTTTCTGTATACTGTACTCTAATGCACTACTTGCTGCCAATAGTCTCAGATACATTTTTGCTCTTGATTTTTATTTGTCCTGTTTCTTGAACTCACATACTGGTTAGACACAATATGTTCAAGTACAAGATTGGCTTCTCTTACTCAATTTCATGTTGATTCAACCAACCATTAATTTAAAAATCAATATTATCCCCACACAATCTGCAAAGAAATATTTTTTTTCATCCTCCCAGAAGAAAGGTGAAACTACAATTCATAATGCTTTTCAGTAAATCACTGCTAAAAAAGCACTGCTGTGCAGATATAGAGGGGGAATATAAATGACAAAACCTTTCTGCTGAGAGCAAGAGAGCACAGACAGATGCAAACTGGGATAAGTATAACTGATATCCACTTGTAAACCATTGTAAATTATAATGTTCAGGAACAAGGTCAGCAGCTATCCCAGGATAGCTAATTACAATAGGTAGTTATTATGGTACTTCACTAGTAGGCAGTGGAAGGCGGCAAAGCACTACTCTGGAATAGATACAAACAGATAAAACATACACTAGCATAACTTACACAAGTAGCATTTTATCCCTGACCCTTTCTCCACTAGACAAGGTAAAGTTGCACTGGTTTTTATTGCTTCCCTGCTCTCTCTCTTTTCTTTTAAAAAATTGGTATAATTTTGATTACAATGGGTACTACATGTGCCCAGAGAGAAAGCAAGAGGATAATGATCGGTCACTAGAATGCTACTGAAACTTCAAAGCAAATTATTGACCCTCAAAACTTTGAGGTGAGAGTGAGAAACAAAAGGAGATTCAAAAATAGATAATTTCAATGGTCTCCATTATAAAGAATCTCCCTGTCAAATAATTCTCCCAATATTCTCTATCTTCTTCTAATTTATAATATAAAGATTAATTATACCGCAGAGTTTGTAGACTGATACACATCTGCTTCCATTTGCAAAAGGCTTTCCCAGTGTCTGCATTCTAAAATGTAGACACTGTATATGTCCATATACAATACCACTGGGAGATTAAACTTAGATCTATAGAATTCTCCTGGCATTTAAAATTTTTGATTTTCCTTTGTTTTTTGGAGTTAGGAAAAGTCAAAACAAAAACCCATAATATTTTCAAATTGTAGGCTAATTTGTGAATACAAAAAAACAAATTGCCTTAAAATTAAGTTACTTTCTGGAAAGATATAGCTGGAGGATATTCTACATTTATTTTGTTTCACATACATGTAAAATATATAAATTAATGGGAGGTAAGAAGATGTTCCTAGGACCGCAGCCTAGACAAAGAAAACTGCATCTTTTTCCACTCACATCATAAAAATGCTGTATGACAAGTTCCAGGGGTGTAGGTTGTAGCCGTGTTGGTCTAAGGACATAGGCAGACAAGGTTCTTTGGGTGAATCTGATATCTCTTATTAGACCAACTTAAATAGTTGGAAAAACAATTTTTAAGCAAGCTTTTGGGTTCAAAAACCCTCCGTCAGGCTAAGGAAGTTTCAGCAGTTGATGTGTGCTCTTCCTGGATGGAATGAAAAGTACTACTGGTCCTACAAGTTCTACCTTCAGCTGTTTAACCCTACTGTATTCATACTTGTTTGCAAGCCAAGTGAAAACAATATTTTACAGGTGTAAATCAGGAGCAGTTCAGCACACTAGGCATATCAAGGAACAGAAATCTCCAAAAATAAAGAAGAAGAGTATATTTTAGTAATTAAAACAGCATTTCCCAACTGGGCTGGAGCCACACCCCACCACCTGCTGCTGGTGTGGACACAAGACAGATGGGGAGCGTGGCTCCAGTCAGGCAGGGGCTGTGGCTCCAGCCCAAAATGTCATCCGGCTGGCTGCACACCACCCCTCCCCGTCAGCGTTCGGCTGGCCACCTGCCACCTCCCCCCCGCACATCCAGTGTGCCGTGGTACTTTTTTATTTAGGTAAGTGCGCCGTGGAGTGAAAGAGTTTGGAAAACATTGCACTAAAACAAGCAAATAATGCACAAAGATGTCATGTATACACAAGCACTTTTCAGAATAGAAGTGTAATCCAAGATTTATTGCTTGCTTTTCCCCCTGAAGAAATCAGTTTATTGAATCTAACTCCAAAATGATTACATTACTTGCTTGGAAGGGCAGATCTCTTTGTACTAGAACTGCAACAGTCATTCATTTTCTTCAAGTAGTTTTGAAAACTTGTTCAAAATATTTAGGACATACCTAATCTTTTAACTGTAGTACAAAATATTAACGTTTTTGGATCCTTTTAGAATTACACAGATTATATTTGAATAGAAGACACGCTTTCAAGTAAAAGGCATGTTTCATCAGGTGCTTTGTACTATAAAGCTTACTGAAATCTCCCCCAACCTTGCAGTTGGTCCAATAAAAGGTACCACCCATAAAAATCCTTGCCTCCACTTTTTTCTGGCCCATCACAGCTACAACACTACTGACCCTGCCACATTTAAATGAAAGTAATTTATATCATGACTTAAATCAGCAAAGAAGAAACCTTGCTTAAAATAATCAGTTCTAATATTGTTCTGAATGTTTATGTTTCTTTAAGAAAGACAGATTCCCATTGGTTGATAACCATCAAAACATGTTGATCTGTCACTAAATAAAACTCTTACGCTAAACTGTATGTGGGGGGGCAGCCCTCGTGAAGAGGATAACAGCATACATGTGTAAATAATTACAATGCTTCACATGCATTCCATTTAATCAAAATATAGATAAAACAAATTTGAATCCCACCCCCAAAGTTTTGTGCTGTTTAGCCCGATGTACAGAATTTTCAAATCTAAAATATGTTTTGTGTTTATATGTGCCTTGCTTCTAGAACAGTGGTTTTCAGACTCAAGGCCCCCTCTGTAACTTTTCTGAATTTAGTGGCACCCCCATTTCATACACTGATTTAGTACAGTGCCCTGCACAGACATGCATGTTTCCTTTCTTTTGTGTGCTCACACACTCATGTGCAGAGCCTTTCTGCAACACGGGCACACAGGGTACACCTGCTCCTCCATACACATAGCGCTCCCTTCCTTTGTCCACACAGAGGATGCACACATTCCCTATTCTGCAATCTGAGGTCTGCTGCTGTCCCATCCCATCTCAGCTAGGCTCTGGCCAGTGAATTGCTCGCAGCAGCTTCCCAGAGATTCATCTGAGGCTACTGTATTGATCTGCCTGGTCTAATGACAGAGGCTGCTACACTAGGGTAGGAGGAAGGGAAGGAGGAGGCCTAGATGTACCCAGCCCTGACTCCATTAGCAGCAGCTACTGGTTACTGTCTATGAAGTTCCCTGCTCTGCCCCTCCAGGACACGCAGCATACAAGTATCCCTGTCCTGATCTCTAGCTCTGGCATGTGGATGTCTGCCCAACAGCACCAAAAAAAGCAGCAACAGGCACTTAAAATTTATCTCTAGGCTGCTGTGCCACCTCTAGAGCTGCTTGCAGATGTTATAAAAAAAGAAAACAAAAAACCCCAGCATTTTAAACTTGGCATAGACCCCGCAGATGCCCAGAGGAGGCAGCACCTCAGCTGGACCCAGCTCACCTATCATCTGTATAGATCAGGTGCTTTAATGGAGCCTTTTTGGCGCTTTTATCTAATAGCTGATTGAATCAACTTTAACTAAAATCACCAAAAAGCCCCGCTGAAGCACCCGATCTATATATACACTCCAGAGCTGGGTCGAAGTAACATGCTGCTTCTTTCAATAAAGCACAGGTTGTTATTTGTTTGTTTGTTTGGGGGGGGAGGGGGTTTGGGCTTGTTTTTTTTGTTTTAACATGTGCAAGCAGCATTGGTGAATAAATGAAGGCAGAAGCACCTTGTCCCACCATAGCTGCTTCCTGGTCCAACTCTGCATGTATCTCCTTGAAACAGAGATATACAGAGCAATTTCACCTTGCCATGGCAAGCAAGGATCTCCTAGCACCCTGGTTGAGAACCACTGATCTACAAAAAATTGCATGGCATTTTAATGGTAAGGTTCTGAATAGATGTGATATCTTTTATTAGACCAACTAAGTAGTTGGAAAAAAATTCTTAGCAAGCTTTCAGGTGCAGTCACCATTCTTTAGGCACAGGAAGATTCTGCTGGTCTGAGCATCCAAGGAATGAGAGAAGGTAAAAGTGTGGCCACCCGTATGATCAGAGACTTGCAAGGCAAGCCATACAAGGAAAGGCTAAGGGACTTGGGACTCTTCAGCCTAAAAAAGAGAAGGCTGAGAGGGGACTTGGTAGCACCTTACCGCTACATCAGAGGAATACATCAAGGGTTCAGTGAACAACTTTTCAGCAAGGCAATCTTGGGAAAAACCAGGAGTAATGGCCACAAACTCCCCGAAGACCATTTCAGGCTTAACATTAGGAAAAACTTCTTCACAGTAAGTGTCCAGACTGTGGAATAAACTCCCTCCAGAGGTGGTGCAATCACCTACTCTGGATATCTTCAAGAGGAGACTGGATGGTCAACTAGCTGGGGTCACCCGACTCCAGGTGTCTTTCCTTCCTAGTACTGGGGGACTGGATGCAATGATTTTGTGAGGTTCCTTCCAGGCCTTACAAACAATCTATGAATAGTATTTAAAAAAAAAAAGAAAAAGAAGAAAAAACCCAAACTCCTGACAGTTTGGTTCTAAATACAGGCACCAACCAAGACCCACAAAACAAATGACAGGGATTTAAGAAAAAACATTGTAGCCTGCAAGTTTTCATATGACCTAATCAGGTCAAGGGAATGTCCAACAACTATTAAAACTGACTTCCACTAAGGCTGCTGGTTTGAGTCTGACTCACGAAGGGTGTAGAGGGAAGGAAGAGAACCCGTTCCTTGGACTTGGTGAAGATGTGTAAAAGTTATGTCAATTTATAATTTTGAACAGTAATATAAACACTAATTACTCACAGAAACATATTCAGGGATAGAAAGCTCATCTTCAGAAAGGGACTTCAGTTTCTCATAGTAATCTGCTGTCAATTCCAAGTCACGCAGGCTACGATGGATATCTCCAGCTCGCTCCCTCAACTGATGATTTGTTTCTTCTAGTTGTTTCTGCCTCAGTAAAATGGTTTCCATTTCCTGTTTCATTAGCTCCTGATGTTTTCTGAATAAGTGCATTAAAAAGTTGTAATAAGCACACCAGAATGGTTGTTAAATAACTAATCAATCCCCACAATACCAATGACGGAGATGAGTAAAGTTTTCTTGTAAAACAAGAATCACAAAGATAAAAGTTAAGTGACTTGCTCAGACATTTAAGTCAATATCAGAGGCAAGCTTAGCATCCGTGAGCCATTTCATGATCAGCCCAAGCAGATTTTTAAGATGTGTTCATTTTTAATATGTTCAAACCAAAAAACATAGTTAAATGGAATTACAACTGCCAAATTATATTCCTAGCAAGCACAAATACCAAGAAAATAAGAAATCACCAGTTAAAGCAACACTAATTTCAACTGAAACGTGAAATTTAATATTTTTCTCTCACACACACCATAGCACAAATTTCCTTCCACTTCCAACATACTTTAATGCACTTATCCAGCTCCCTAAAATCATACTAAAAATCAGGGATCCTGGTTTTCCTTAATAAAAAGTGGCAAATTCTCTGATAAAAATGGCAAATTCTCTAACACACACAGAGGTATCAAATGCACACAATGTTTTGTTGATATATTTACAATTTTCAAGCAATTTGGAAGCCTACTGGTGCCTCAATCATACTAGTAAAATAAATTCTAAGTACCTGTAAGTGTAGGTATTTTACCTTGGTTGTTTTTTTTTATCATGGAAAAATCAGAGCTCCCCTGCCCCTTAGCTCACCAAGACACAGGTCCAGGCCTCTCACTTTGCGCACACAGCCCTGAAGGTGCCCCTCACTCCCCACCCACAGCTCCCCGGCCCCAACAGCTCTGTGGAGTGGGCCCCCAGCTGCCTGAGCAATGGGACCAGGGACATGGGTCTGCAGCCTCCTGCCCCCCGCATCAGTGTCCAAGCCCCAGCTGCCACCCGTGAGAGACAGTGACAGCGGCAACTGCTGTGGCCCAAGCAGGGAGCCTGGCTCCCCCTCCCCAGCATGCAGCACAGCTGAAGTGGAGCCCATGGGGGGTGGTCCAGACTGCCCACTGCAGGCTTGACCAAGGGGTGGTGCCAGCTCACCACTGCTGCGCACACTCCAGGAGGGGAGGGGCAGGGGGCACACATGTCTCCCAGATCTGTGCATGGGGCAGGGGTGGGCTGCCCACTGCAGGCTCGGGCTCCCTGCCCTACTGCCTTCACCCTAGGGCCTCTGCAGCCCAGCGGCCATGGCATGGCAGAGTGGGGCTGGAAAGGGAAGCTCGTTGTGGCTGGTGCAAGCCCCACACTGCCCTGGCAACGCGCTCCCTACCAAACTCAGAGCAGTGTGGGGCACAACTCCACACCACCTCCCCCACTGCTCTGTGGTAGGAGGGGGCACGTCCCCAGACCAGTGCAGGGCTCATAGCAGCCGCAATGAGGTTCCCTGCCTGGAACGGGTCTTCCCTGCCATGCTGGGCCCTGCCCTCTGGGCCATAGAGGCCACAAGGAAGGGCAGCAGGGCGGGGAGCCCAAGTCCGCAGCAGGCAGCCCACCCCAACCCCCATCCCCCACACACAGATCTGGGGGCATGTGCCCCCCAAGTTCCCCTGGAAGCGTGCATAGCAGCAGGGAGCTGGCCCAACACCCCCACCCCCAGACAAACAACCCATAGCCTCATCCCGCTCTCCACCAGGGCCCTGCAGCTGTGCATTGTGGCTCTGGGTCCCAAGCCCTATGCACTGCCCAGCTGGGCAGCAGCCCCAGCCCCAGCCTTGCCCTGTCCAACTCCCCGCTTCCTTCCCTATGGAGGCCTCAATTCCTCACCACTCTGCTCCCCTTAACTATGGGAGCTGGTCTCCAGGCTGCCTGGTGGCCATATGCACATACATGCACATGACACCCCCTCCCTGACAACCCTCCTCCTTGCTCCCCACAGCTCCTTGCAGGCTGGAACACTGCCAGCCTGCAGAGAGCTCTTTGCAAAAGAGCAAAATCCACGTTTCTCCGTTAAAATGAAAAATCTGCGGTTTTCTCTGATAAAAGGGGAAATCTGGCGGGGGGGAGGGGGGGTTCTGTTTTTGGTGGGAACTTTTAAATATGGTGTTATTACTGAATGTCAGGCTGGTTTAATCATGAGTGATGAAGGATCAAATGACAGTGGAAATCAGCTAAATTTCTTACTAACATGTTACTACTTGTTAATTTCCAGACATTTTAAGCAAGTTACTTTTTATAGACCCAAATTTTTTATACAGAAAACCACATTTCCTTTGAGTTTTACTTGAACTCTGTGAAAACATCTTTCAACCTTAAAAGTTCTAATGCAATTGGTTTTATTTGGAAAGTAATATTTTTAAATATTTAAATACTATAAAAAGTTTTGACTTGCTTAAGACAAAATCTCAGGAACAACCTTGATTCAACATACTTCATGAGGCTCACCAAAGCAGGCCTCACAGTCCACCCTAGCAGAAGGGTTACATGTATATTTGGCCAAAAGGGTAAATAGAAGTTATGTCTGGGTGGGGTATACAGGGCAGGGGACAGAAAATAGGACTGCAAAGAGAAAGGCTTATGCATGTGAAAAAAAATTAAATTCAACCTTTCTATGACTAGACTTAAAAATAATACTAATTTACATGGTACATAGCACTTTAGCATATGGATATTACAGTACTTCTATTTCCCTTAAGTAACTCCACTTTACAGATTGTACAATTAACACACTATTTAGAGATGTTTCTCTAAGAGTTGTTATACTGTTTGCAGTAAGACCTGACTGAAGCAGATCTGAGATTATGGTCGAATGGCAAAATCCACAAATAAGGCACCGCGTTCATGAATACAGTGTCCCCCGGCAGCTGGCGGGAGGGGGAGCACAGCTCTGGCAGTGATAGTGGGAGCGCAGCGGCAGTGGAAGCCCAGCGGCAGCGGAAGCCCAGCGGCAGCAAGTGCGGAGCTCCTGAGGAGCACCTGTAAGTGCATAAAGCGTATTTAAAATGCAGGTTCAGCATTTGTGAATATCTGAAACCGTGAATGCCAAGCCCACGAATAGCGAAGGTTTCCTGTCCTTATAGATAGAGACTTCCACAAATTAAAAACTCTCCAACATAAGACTTCACTAAAGGAAGTCTACATACCAAAACTGTCCTACAGTCAGCCAGTATAAAGTCCAATTTGTAATGTTTCAGAAGATTACAGAATTGAATATGCCATTTGGGAACATTTCAAAATAAAGTTTGGATTTAGGCAGGTCAGAAACTGCAAATTTCAATGAGATGTAGTTAGCCATGATAGCCTGAAGATAGGCAAGAGGCAAGGCAGGGTGGCACCTATAGCTACGGACCACTGGAATTTGCACCAGAAGTGTACTGCACAGTGGCTCCTTTAATTTTGCAGTTTCTTCTACATGCTCTCCCCTGCTGCTGACTGGCGGAGGATCCCTGACATCTATCCCTGATTGGAGGGGACGTGAAAACCATAGTTTTATATGTGCCACAGTTTCTGCCTCCAACTGCTGATTGGAAGAGGGGACCTGGTGGCCCTGCCACTTGCTGCTTACAAGATGAGAGGCAAAAACTGCAGCATATTTAAAACTGGTTTTTGCCTCCTCGCCATCGAGAGCAAGTGGCAAAGGCATGGGGGTGCATTTGGGAAAACTGCAAGATTAAAGAAACTGCCATGCAGTGCATTTCTGATGTGAATTTCAGTAGTGGTGCACCAATAACAATAACTGATGATTAACCAACCATATCGGCCAGTGCTGATCTGATAACCAATATTTAGTAATAGTGCAAGGCATTTTAAACTACTGACATAAATAAACCTTTTTCTGTTTGTTTTGCATTTAAACACACACACATCCTGCCTGTTCTGGCCCTCAATGAGAAAGGGGGTGGGCTGCTTATTCCCATGTCACCCCCCACCCGCAGCTCCTATGCAAAGCCTCATTCCCTGTGCAACTTGTGCTGCTGTCCTGGGTGGGTAGGGTAGACTCTCATGTGGACAGCAATGCCAGGTGTGTTTGGAGCCCCAGAGCACGCCACTGCTTCAGCACCTGCAGGCCCCGCACAGTTGAATTCCCGTGGCCGCCAGGGAGAAGCTGCTTTTGTAAAGGTATCCAGTGCTTGGTAGAGCAGAATGCGTCTCACACGGCGTCTTACCCCACCTGCATGCAGCCCAACATCTCCATGGCAGCCCCAGCGCTCATGCACCTGCTGTGCATGTGGTGTTGCCATCGCAAAGGAGCCAGATAATTTGTTGCATATCGCTGAAGTATGTCTCATTGAGATCTGTTTATTTTTCCATCATACCTGGCATCTTCTTGCTGCAATGCCAACTGGCTATCTAGTCGTAAAGACAACAGTTGTTTCTGATGGATAGCATCATTCAGCTTCTCTTCTAGCTCTTCAATCTAAATACGGATAAAAACATAAAAACAGGTCATTTTCCTCACAGGAAAAAAAATAGTTCTATTTCCTTTAAAGGATTTAGAGGGGAAAAAATGATACAGACCTAAATGAATCAAGATCATTTAATGAGAATTCAAAAAATCTGTTAAATATCTCAACAAAACAAGAAACTACCCCTGCCCCAAAGAACCTACAAAGAAATGTTTCAAGATTCCACAACTGGAGCTGTGCAGGGGGAGACACTCACCTACTCAAATCCAACTGCATGATAAAGCCTAAATTCAACTTGACAAACAAGCGCAAATAACACCAGAGACCAATACAGGAAGGTGACAGTATTAAGAATGCACACAAACCCAGTAAGACCTTTTGTTCTTTCCCATCTTGCACTTTCAGGAAAGAGGAGGCAGGACAGGTTGCTGTAATTCAGACCACTCAATGGTCTACTCCAGGCCGATTCAACTACTGGGGAGATAGGGAGCTGTTCCCCTAGGCCCATGATGCTGTGCGTGCAGCTCAGCTCTTCATTGTTGTATGTACAACCCAGCTTCCACCTGCCAGCCACACGTGCTGAGCACAGGCCAGCATGCACAGCACTCCCACCCCCTGCCCAGATGTGCAGATATGGGCATCCCACCTGCCACACACAGCACTAGCAACTTGGCTCCCCTCCCTCTTTAGCTGAGAGCTCAGCATGCATAACCCTGCTCCTCCCCTACCCTGCACATAACACATGCAGTCTGGCCTCCTTCTCGCTGTGCCAGCAGCAGAGGCAGGAACCAGAAACTGGAGAAGGAAGAGATCCTGGCTACCACCCTAAGATATGGAGTGGCATCTGGGCAGAAGCATATAGGTCAAATGTTAACCCCTCAGGTGCAGTTGGTTGGACAGCCCTGGTCTACTCCACTGTCAGTATTTCTCAACCCTCTCCCATTGGCAAGCCCTTATATGGCTTGACTTTCCCCAACTATAACAATAAATCTATATAGCATACAGGTGTGCTGAGAGATTAATAATAAATTACTTGACCTGAAGAGGTTAGAGTCTTTGGAGGCTGAAACTTTTCCCCACTTCAAACTTTAATAAATGCAAAACTAAAAGCCCAGGATTCTCAAGTCCTAACCTCCTCTCTAACTATAGTCTCCAGTATAGTCCACTTACAAAGGAGCTGGAAACTGGGCAATTCACTTAACTGGATAATTGCTGTACTAACCATACAGCAATTAATTTTCCTCACTTCAGCTCCCCCATCTTCTTTATTCTTTAAAAACAGAAATAACATTTTAGCATTTATCTTACAGGGATCTTGTGAGAGCTGAAATAAGCACAACCCTCCAACAATTTCTAATGCTATAAATATTAAATTATGAGTGAAGATGTCTTCTTCTCTTGGTAGTAGAAATCCCTGAAGTGCTGAAGCACACAGAAAGACAGAACTAACAACCGTCCCTTTTCAGCTGTACCTATCCTGACTTCAGTGAGGACAACGGTGCCCGACTTTTTCTGTCCCCTTAGGTCGGACAGACGGTGCTCAATCTGTCTGCAAGCTGGATCCCACTGGTGGGCCTGATTTGGTGCGTGGGGCAGTCAGGCAGGGCTGAATTTTGCCTCAATGCAGCTGCACAGGAGCAAAGGGGCATGGCCTGACTCTAATCCAACTGCAGGGGGGAAGGCAGTAAGGTGGCACAGACTGGCCTCAACCCAGACATGTGGTAGGGAGGAGCTAAGGGGGCACAGCCCAGCCCCGATGCAGATGTGCAGGGGGAATAAAGGGCATGGCCTGGTCCCTACTTGGCTGCGCAAGGCTTAGGAATTTGGCAGAGGGGGAAGGTGGCAGGATTACTTGCCCCTGCTCCCCCACCAGCAAAGTTTCTGGCCCGTGGAGCCCAAGCCACATGCCACCACTCCATGGGCCGAAAGCTGATCACCCCTGCGTTAGGAGAACCGAAGCTGCTCAGCAACCGAAAGCTGCTCAAGCCTTGCCACAATGATGATGATCATGTCCAACACTACTCTGCTCTACTCTCCGGGCACTGACAGTGGCAAGCAAGGGGCTGCGCTCACCTTGGTCAGGTACTCCACCTTCAGGTTGTCCAGCATGAGGTTTTTCTGCGACAGCTCAATCTTCAGCACCTGCAGACGGTGCAGCAGCTCCTTGCGCTCTAGCAACTGCCTCGTGACCTTCCTGCCACCGCCCCTCTCTTCGGAGGAGGACAGGTCGTCCGTGGGCACTGTGGTCTCCAAGCTGATGTCTTCCAACTCCAGGGAGCTGGACACGTTCATCACCCGCGGTTCCTTGGTGCCCGGCCGCGACATTGCCCTTCCCCACCGTGTTAGGGGGTGGCTCAACTGCCAACCAGGGCCTGGGGAGGGAAAGGCCAAGATCAAAGCACTGTCCGCCATCCCTGCTGGGGGGACCTCTCCCCTCGGCTCCCACTGGGTCCACTGAGGCTGTCCCTGGGTGGGCAGGAAAGGGGGTTGGAGCCGCGCAAGCGCAGTGCGGCCGGCGCTGTCCCCAACACTCTCCCGGGACCCGCTCCCCATGGAATCACTGGGGACTATCCCCCAGCGGGGGGGGCTTGGCGCCGCGCAGACGCAGAGAGTCCCCCACTGCTCCCCAAACTCACCTCAGCCACGACGCAGCGTTGGCCACCGTCGCCACAGCAACACTGCTCGCAACCTCGCTCCCGCCTCATCCGCGCTGCATGCCGGGAGCGCCCGCAGGCTTCCTTCCGGTTCCGGAGGACGCTAGAACGCGCCGCGCCGCGAGCCAGGCTGGTATCCCGCTCGCTCGGCCTGGCGCGTGAGATGCTGACCTCGCGGACGTTCGTGCAGCGCACGCGCGCGGGCGCTGTGCGCAAGGTGGTGCGCGAGCACTACCTGCGCGACGACATCGCTTGCGGCGCGGCTGCCTGCTCGGGCTCCGTGCCGGCCCCGCCCGGCGCCGCCTG